TCAGATTGACGTAATACACCTCATAACTTTTAAATCGTCCTACACTTTCGGATGAACCTATAATATGTTATTTCTATGGAATTATACATATAAATGTGTACACATTATAAAAGCCGGCCATAGATCTATATCATAATTTAATATTTATGGTAGTCGCCAGGTGTATTCAAATGTCACTCGCGTTGTAGCACAACAAATATTATAATATCAATATGCAAATATATAAATACACAATAAGATTAATTGCAGATCTCTCGTAGAGGTCTTATATGGAAGGAAAATTGTGTTATATTTGTCCATATAAGATATTTTTAACAACTTTGTGAAAGGACTTATACAAATAATCATTTATACAGAAGAATTGAACTTCATAAAATTACATTGTGTCCAAGCCAATTCTGTATAAACAATAATTTTGTTTACGGTACTATCCGGAACAGTTTGTCGACAATATTGATTTGAAGACAAGGACTAATCAAGATCACAATAGTAGTTTTTGTCCAATCTCTACCAAAATATCTAGGCATTTAGTAAGGTTTTCAATTTCCATTTTGTAGAAGGATGTGTCCTGCATAAGTAAGATCGATTATTGTAATTTTACGTATAACATGCCCTTGTCGCCCATGAAAGGTTAATCAAAGCATTACCATCTTATCATAACTTATGTAGAAATTGTCGGAATTGTCATTAAAAATCTTTTATAAATTAATGTCATTAAAATTGTGTCTATTCCCTCCAGAACGTTGTTTTGAGAGAATTACAATAGCAAACCATAAGATGGATTTGAGAATGTGAAACTGTAGAACTTGTTTTACAAATAAGCGAGCAAAAAATAGCACAAATTCTCTTTCTACAATGTTTTCCTAAAGCCTACCGTGAGTATGTACAACTTCCTTGAAAGTTACGAATCTTCGCCTTGCAAGAATTGCGTCTTCTTCACCTCCTTTTGTATCCCAAGGTCCAAAGTGAAGTTCCATAAGGGATTAGCTGATACTCTTCCTGGCACTATCAAGCTAGTATGAGCACATGTATGAACTTTCGCACTTTCGAAACTGAGATTAACAATACACTTCAAAATAGTAACCTTGCTGTCATGAAATTACCAATTTTATTGGAATTCCTTAGATAAAATGTTACCCCTCTTGGCCAAGACGATTTATCGGGCCAAGGCTCAGATGACCGGTGCGGTTCCCCCACCAATGTCCAAACTTTAATTTCAGAATCCCAAGACCCATAGAGTTATAGCATAGTTATATCAATAATTTTTCGCCACCCTAATCTAGACAAAGGTGTGAAAAATAAAGTCCTACTTATGTGCACAAGGACAGGGGTCCGTACAATGAAAACATAAAAAATTAGATTTCTGGACACCTTCTCCAGAACCTCAAAATTACAGAGTTTTTACAAAAACATGTTCTTAAAAGCTTAATATCGGGCTTTTCACATCATTTTTAATGAGGATGGGACACGGATGGATCTAAAACATGGAAGGAATAGGTACTGTTATCTACTCCTGAACCTCCATATCATCCAACCACGAGGCAAATTTTCTACTGTATTTCAATACAGTTAGGACTAACGCTCAGTGCAGGAAAACTTCTTATGCATAACAGAACAAAACTATCAGAATCTCCAGTAACAGCAGGGCTGTCTTGCAGGAACTTGGTCACTATAAAATGACCTCCAGGTTGGTATACGAATGTCACCATACACTAGAGCAATTAGCAAGCAGAAACATCCTTGAGCTCACATGGATCAAAGGGAATTCTAGAACGGAAGGTAATGAGAAACCTGACGAGTTAGTCCGACTGGCCTCAAAACAAATGTTTTATTGTCCAGAGCCGGCTCTCCCACGTACAGTTGCAACTGTAAACAACTTAAAAACTAAAGACACCCAAATACAGCATAGGGCTAGGTGCAACATGATATTACATTGTAGCCATGCGAGAGAAGCCTTTAAAGGACCATCTCGAAGCCTGGCACGTTTTTGCCTAGGGCTATCAAGAAGGAACCTGAGGTTATTAGTGTGCATACTTTCTGGACACTGCAAACTAAACAAACATATGCACCGCATGACTTTGGTAGAACCATCATATTGTGGAAGATGCCAGTTCTAACCGCACACCCTTAAAAAACAAAGACCTAGATGTATACAAGTTTTTGGATTCTCTTCCAGTTTAGAGTATATTGATCTACCTATCTATCTAGAATTCAGGGATGGGTTCTTTAATTGTATAAAAATCAGGAATCATAAATTTTTACGGCCATTAGCGGTTTAAACGTACGTAAACTTTGAGAATTTATCTATTAATCATACTGTAACGGTAGCTCTAAAATCGCATTTAGTTTATTTTTTTGAAAATTTAGAAGTTTAGAGATTTGGTGATGGAATTTTAAAATTAAATAAATTAAACAAATATAGCAAACGAGCTCCTGGCTATGGCTATAGTTTTGCTTTTATTTAAAGCTTATATGCATGAAATTTCATTTAATTGTTTTCATATAAAGAAAGTTGGCACTGCAGATCACGCACAAAACCAAATTTGGAAAATGGGGCTACATTTGCTTTTATTCCAAGTGGCTATGTATCAAATTTCATTTGAATGCCTCCATAAATAAGAAAGTTTGCAATTCGGTCTGTAAATGGTCGAAATGCGCAAAGGGCACTGTGAATGCTGATCGATTAGGCTCAACTTTTGGAACTGTGTTTTATATGACTAAAGCTATGCGCATATTGAATTTCATGCATTTCGGTTCGTAACTAACGGAGATGTCAAAAAGGCCTACTTTATTTTTTGGTCTACATTGGCAATTTACGAACTCCAATCTACAAATTTGATAAAGAATCCACCTGCAAAATTTCATCGTAATCGGTCCATTTGTTTATGAGTTATCGTGCTAACGGGCGGACAGACGGACAGACACCGCAAAATTATAAACTCGCTAGGAGCTCATTAATAAGCGAACAGTAGTGGAAATGAAATCCGTCGTCTCTGTGACATTTGATGTCTGTAGAGCATTGTCTTCTTAATGAATTCCGGATGTCGTGGGACTACATGGCGTATGTTTTAGTTACAATTGCGAATTCAGCAAAAGATCGTTCGGGAGCGTGAAAAAAGCAGTATCGGCATATTTGTTGATTTATTACCGTAGCTCTATGTTGATTCGTAGGATGGGAAAGAAAAAAGCAAATAAACGACTAAAGATACCCGCCTGCGTTAATGAGTCGTTAGAAAAAAACAGTAAACAAAAATCAAGGTGTAAAACTGTTACTTTGTGAAATTTCCTCCTGTTGCCTTAACATCAGAAACATTTGGAAATATTATAAAAACTACAATCAAAGACCAATTGCGTTATCTGAAAATTCACCAAAGGATTGGTTCCAAGTCTACTATTTTTCCTGAATCATTGTCTTCAGCCATTTTATATCAACATCACCACCTGCAGAAGGACTGTCTTTGTCTTGTATGAGGTATCTTCTTTTCATATTAAGTTAGGGGTAATTCATAGAGACCGTGGGCATGAAAATAAATTTGGTTAGTTAGATATTCATAGAGAAAATCATAAATAGAAAACTTGTAAAAAGGAAATGTACTAATTGAAAGTACAGTATTATTTGATTCTTCATCAATATATCCACAGATTGTATTTAATCTGTGATATATCCAAACTTTACGGTAATTTTGTATTTCTTGCTCCGTGAACAAGCAGCTTTAAAAGCAGATTTGAAGTTAATTTTCAAGAATTTGGTGTGTGTAAGTCACAGTAAAAAAAATCGGAGACCATGTTAAATTTTTGTTAAAAAAATCGGGTTCTGTTACAAAATTCGGTAATTTTTGTTTCAAGGAAGGGATGATCAACCCCTTTAATTGCAATAAGTCTATTCAATACACTGCTTAAAAATCAATGCAATATTGAGTTTCCAAATTCTTGATATGGACTGAGGAAAAAATGTACTTAATTTGTCTTAGGCCTATATCGGATTATGTACCATAGTGTTAGTTGTAAGTCATTTGAAACAGAAGTGTACGTGACAAGAAATCCGCAGTTTTAAGACAAAAATTTGGGAGTTCTGTTTCAATCCTGAAAACGGAAAATCTAAGATTTCGCGAATATTGAAACCTTTAAAATATAAAAATCAGGAACGCTGCAGTATTTCAAGTAATATCTTATATCATACATCAAAATCAGTGATATATTATTTGAAACACTGCAGCGTGAATTTTAAGGGTGCTTCGTCCCCTTGCATGTCAACTTCGTAAGTGAATTTCAAAAGAAATTGCCAACAAAACGATTTATGTCTCTATTATTTCTGCGCAATTATGAAAAAGTTATTTTAGCATAAGATGGTTATAATTTGATTAACCTTTTATGGGAGTATGTTAAGTTGTTAAAATTATAGTGCATGACTTAATTTATACGTTTATGAATGAAATGTTCATCCATCAATAGTAAGAAATTTAAAAACTTACGAAATGTATATTTAGGTACTCTCGGTGCACGCACACAAAGCGCCCTACAAAACGATTGTGAAGAACCGCAGAAAAATTCAAATACCGCCACATATTTCGCAATACAAAATGAACCGACCTCATTAGATTGTACCAGAATGCATCCTTTGCCAATTTTTATGCGTGTAGAGAACAATAGTAATATTTATACACCCAGTTTTTAATAGCATTGTCCTTGTACTTCAATCATGTTCGAATTGTTGTTTAGCACCTTGCGAGTGAAAGTGCTCGTTCGAATCTTATCATTTTCTTCCGGTCGCATTTTTCGGATGGACCCTAATTGAGAATAGCTCGCATTAATGCAAATATTTGTTAAATAACAGGACAAAAATTCTGTCTAGAAATGCATACTATCCTTATATTGTGTCAGGTGAAGCAACAACCTCTTTTTCTGAAGGTGGTAATTGTCCACTCTCATTTCTCATCATATCTGGCACGCGGGTGGGAAATGATCATCCTCAGTATATAAGCGAAATCTTCAATTGGTAATGCATCAGTTTATGACTAATTATTACAATTTAAAATGCATTTGGTAAGTTCAGAGATGTAAGGGTAACTTTACGAATTTGCGTTATTTGCAGATTCTCAGGGCGGTTGTAACGCTTGGCAGTTTAAGTGTAGTGGTAAAATTGCAGCACATACCATACCAATATTCAAACCTAAACCAAATACCGATCCTTAAATTGTCGTACGAACCTAATCCCGATGGATCCTATGTGTATCAGTAAGTACTTTGCAGCTTTTCACCCGGGCTCTTACCAATAGTCTCATTTTTCAGGTACGAAACTGGGAACGGGATCTCGGCTCATCAGCGTGGATACTTAAAGAATCCCGGTAACCCTCAAACCGAAGCCCAAGTTATGGAAGGATCATATTCTTATGTAGGTCCCGATGGTGTTCAATACACCGTTCAGTACCTCGCCGATGAGAACGGTTATCGGGCACAAGGCGCACATTTACCCACGCCTCCACCGATACCCGAAGCAATCCAAAGATCGTTAGCTTACAACGCAGCCCATCCAGAAGTTTCAGGTGTAGGACGACTGAGGTTTAGAAAATAGAATGTACCCCTATAACCTAATCGTACAATATTTATTTATATAATCAAAGTTGCTTTATGAACGTGTTCGTAATTGTTAAGCTTTAATATTTTATTGAAAATATAAAGGGCAGCAAATCTGAAAAAAAAATGGTTTTTAGTAATCCTTACGAAATAACCATCCTGTAACCAAAATTAGTAATTGATATATTTGGAACAGGATAACGGTAAGAGTCATCGAATATCAAACATTTCCGTTCATTGCCTCTTGCAAATTTTCGACCTTTCTGTACTAGAAACGTGAACTAATTTAATACCTCATATTGTTCACTTGTTCCTTTCAATTTTGGGCGTAGAAATTGAAATTATTTCACGATACTCCACGCCCGTTTCTGGATTCTTGCGTAATATATAATATGCAGATACCACGTTTAGTTCAAGTTACTGACTACAATTACTACCTTTTTAGGTACGATCATTTTTAGTGTTTCAAAATTTGTGCACAAAAGGGCGGAGCTGGTAACTTATTTTTTCGAATAAATGCTTTCATTAAATTAGTTGATTTAACGAAATTGTTAAGCTCCGATTAAAGTCAAATTCGTATATGCACAAAAAAGGAGTATGCATAACGGCGCTGTCAAATAGCCTCTAATCAAGGGAAAATTTAACCGGTGCTCGTTGACTGATTAAACTGACTGTTCGATCATAATTTTTAATTTGAGCTCGTGAAAAGTAATTTTTTCGCACGCATTTGAGTGTTTAAAACGGAGATTGTGATGCAGGTATAATAAAAATGTTTGAACTTTTGCAAGTGTTGGGTACAGCAAGATATGGTGCATTCGCGTTCGGAAACATCGTCCGGAATATCTTTCAATGAAACTTTCAGAAAGTGATTAGCATTACATCGTATTTATCAGTAAAATTTTGCAATTGAAACAGAACTGAGAGGGTTGGTTCCGGAAGCATTTCCTACCATTTACACCATAAATGCTGACTAGGGTGTTAGAATTGACGATCTAGTGCCTCAGAAACTCATTGTTTCACTTTAGCAATGTATGAATAAGTAAGAAAATCAATGACCTCATATCAAAAGTCGCGAAATAAGCTTTATCTATTCTATTGTTAGGACTGTTGTGGACTATATATATTTACCTACTACATTTGTATGCGATCTAAAAAGATCTTGCAAGAGACAGAAATAATACAAAATTTGTATACAGGTTGTTTCGCGACAAACTGGTACCTACCACATTCTATTCCGGGAGTCACTGCGATCAAAAAATGTTATATGACCTATAGTTGAGTTCCTTTTTGTTTCGGCGTTATTGAAGGAATTAAAAAATGTATCGCACCGTATAAACTTGACACAGTCCTTATAAATAAAACTACTTGATAGATCACATTTCGCATACTGAAGTGGTGCACAAAACTGGTAGATTTGCACATACCGCTAAAGTCCCATTGGCTAAACTATTGATGCCTCGATTCAGAAAAGGTAAGTACAAAGAACAATAACTAGGTTCCTAAGATCGTATATTCTCTAAAATTAAAGCGGAAGTTCATTCTTAAAGGTTAATTGCCATAATTAATCCTGTCAGGTAGATAGGTATGCTTAAACTTTGCTTTAATTATATAATGAACATAATTTGGATGAGTCAAGGTTAAATAAAACCTAAAGATATTTATTGCACTCATTTTCTAATCTATATAGTACTATTCTGATTCTCAGAGGTAATATAAAATTAATTTCTCACTATTTCTTTTACATAAGTGTGTTACTTGGTACTTTGTGCTATAAATCACCTAATTTAACAGAAAATAATGTGAGAATTTCAGTAATCAGTTCATTTTGTTATGTCACAAACGTTATATTGGAGGAGAATGTCGTTGTTTGCATGCCATCTCAAATTCTAAATTATGGGGCTAGCCATCGAACGAAGTGGACGCCGATTTGTTGAGGTCTTGGGAAGACGAAGGTCCAGTTATATAAGTATAGTACCTAATTGTGAACATTGCTTAAGACAACATCATTTCTTCTTGTTTTCGATAATAATAAATATAATTGGTTTATTATTACACAATTAGTTCGTTTCTTAGCAAATTAAAATTTGCTGGGTTGCCTTGAACAGACCTTTCCTAAGGTCCAACTCCCTTATTGTGCTTTTATTACAATCGGAATACGCATATTGTAGGTAATAATTTCAATTTCGTTCAATAAACTCACAGTCCCTAATGACTTGTTACTCCCATATGGTTTTTGGGATTAGGCTGGAATCTATTTTTCTTCTATTTTTTAACGAAAGCTGTAATCATTCTTTACAATAAACTTTGCAGAAGCAAAAAAAATTGTTTCACTTCAAGAATGTTACCATTGAAAGTCCCCACATAAATTAGATGTTTACGATGTAAGTTGAATTGATGGTCGTGACATTTGATTTTTGGAAGTCTTAGTCCTACGCATAAGATATACGGATCTGAATTACATCCTATGGTTGCAAATAATTATTTATCCAAATATCGATAAACAACTCCGTAGGCGACTACCATTGGTACTTTGCAATTGAACACATTATGCTAATGTAACTACGACGTTAATTCTTTTACCTTTATCCATTGACATTTTGGTAATAAACTCTATGAATATGATATCCTTTTTACGTTCTTAGTTTAATTTATTCATTTAAAATTATTAACCTTTAATATCTAGATACGGTTATCCACATACTTTGCGTCACTCTCGTTTTATGGAAATGTCCTAAATGCACTTTCTCCTTATCTGACCTGTACACACTTCAGAGCAAATGTCGAATTTTATATTTGCCTTTATAATTTGCCTTTATTTATAAAAGCTATACAAGTCCACCAATCACTACGGAGTAGGTATATATAAAATTTCTAGCGCCAAATTGCTTGGAGAATATCCGCACGTTTCTTTTAGCTATGATTCTCTTCATAGAGATTATTATTTGAGTGAGTGAGAGAAAAAGAGAGAGCTTTTTTTTCAATTGATCTCCATTTAGTTAGAGTTCTTGTACTGTCAACGAAGGTACCAATTCAAAGAATTGCATGGTAATCCAACTTTGTGTTGCATTAGCAGGTCGCGGTTGCAAAGGGACTGGCGACTGTCGCTATCGAATGCCGGAAACGTGGTTTATTAACCCCTGGTGATACGTGATGTCGATGGGAGACGAGTGATTGCTTTTGGGCTCGTAATCGATTAATTAGCTGTAATTCAATTACAATTACAAATGAGTGGGAAATGGAAAAGGGATGTACTTTCGAAGGACGACAACAGGCGACATTTAACGGAGGAATTTCGGGTGGGCCCAAAAGAAAGATTGAAGCGCGCTGTTTTTTTATACATTCATTTGTACAACCGCTGCTTATGTTTTTATACAACAGCGATTGTGGTATAATGTGAATCAATCTATTATACGTCATTAGCATACAGGGTGACTTTTTTTAAGTGTAAGAGTCTTACCGAAGAAGCAGGATACTGGGTAAATTTCCGTCGAATCTTTGTCTCCGGAACCCACTTCAAATGGTTCTCTTACCAGTAATATAACCAAATCATGTGAAACAATGCAGTACAACAGCATCATTTTTATTTATAACACATTGCTCTTTAAAGTCTGAGCCCTTAAAGACAACTAAAAGCCCTCATAACCTCTAGAAGACTCTTAGAGAATATAAAGTGTTTCCTAAAGCTTTTCAAGGTATTCAATATTCTCTAGGATTATTTAAAGCTTTAAATTGTTTTAAGGACTCTGAAATGCTTTTGAGGGTCTGTTAGAGGCTCTAAAAGTCACTAAAAGCCTATGGATTTCATTAAAACTTTTAGTGACTCATGTAGGCTTAAATGTTTTTAAAGGCCAATAAACCTCTTAAAAGCCTTTAAAAACCTTTATAAAGGAATTATTAAAAGCGTTTAAGGGGTTTTAAAGACTCAAAAGGACACAAAAAACTGCTCTCGAGACTCTTGAAGGCTTTTAAAGACCAAACCCTCAAGCAGCTCTTAACTATACTTGCTCTTTAAAACATTTGAAGGTTAAGATTCTGCATGCTAAAAATTCTGGAAAACAGTAGAATACTTTATAAACTAGAAGAGCTTTGAACTCCACTAAATACGAGCCATCTATGGAACGTTGCAACTTACTTCATGGTGTTGCAGGTGAACCGTTTCATGTAATGTATAAGCGATGGTGTGGTTACATTGGAAAAAATTCATTTGGGATGTTTCATAGGTACACGAGACGTATACTGAAATACATTTCTTTGATTACACATTATTCTATTCTTCTCGTCCCATACAAGTTGAGGTATGATTAATCAATTTAAAAGTTCATTATTCGTTTTACTAAAGACACTGTGGATGCAATATTCCATGGCGTGCTGGAGAAAAGTACTTTTTGCAAACTTTACCTGGATCGAATGCTTTTTCGGAACTTTTCGCAACCAGGTCCCGGAAACAAATCTTTTGCAAAGTTTTCTGAACCCCGTCTCGGAGACGAATCACCCAACCGTGCCCCAAGCGAAAGGCGATTAATTGCCAATGTGCTGGTATTTCAGGACGTTCATCAAGGACTTATGAAAATCTGAGTCGCCGATACCCATGAGAATGAAAACGATCTAGGGCCCCAGAATTTTCCCCAAAGTTGGGATCTAACTCTAAAGCACTATGCGTTTAATAAAATTTGAAGGAGAGAATTGCAACTTATACCACTCTTCAAGTGTATAGACGGTTACTATCCTTCCAACCACTCGATAAATAAGGTGACGAACTACGGACGGCGGACTGCAACCCCTAGAATGTCACCACCGGTTTGTAAAAAGCGACAAGATCTGAAGGCTCGGCGAGGAAGTCTCCGTTTCACGTAAGGAACATTCCATCATAATTTACCCCATGTCACACTTAAATCTCCCACACTCTTCTGCAACACGAAAGCTTTCATCACCATCGTAAAAACACATTATTCAACATCATTCGCTTGGCCGGAGACCCCTTCTTCTACACGGTTCCAG